TTTGCCTTAAAACACAAGGTCAGCCAAGCTCAAACATTCTTAAATCACTTGTGTAATCATAACTGTGCAGCTGCAGCTACTGACTGAATTTTTATTTTCGTTGTTAAAGTCTGATTCAAATCCTGAGGGTCTGGCTGTCGGTGTGCGGGTGTGTCACTGGGAGTGAGGGTGTGTCACCGGGTGTGAGGGTGTGTTGTGAGTTGTCGCTCTTGTCATGAGGTGTCATGATGTGTCACAGCAGAACAGTCGCACCAGGTCTGGGGAACAACTGGAACAGACTTGTGTCTGCTGGGGTGGCTGACAATGTCCTGGAATGGGTTTAAATGGAGGTCAGGTCCAGCAGCTGGAAATCACACCTGTGATCTGGGTGATTTTGCTAATCTTGAATTTGGAATCTGAATTTTTGAGTCACCACCTGTGGCTGCTACAACGCTGTGCACCTGTGTGACTTCCCAAACCGGTGCTGGCACTGGCCTTCCATGACCTTAATTTTTGTGTGGACCAGTGCCATCAGTGGTGTCTCCACTGACTTGACTTGCTGCAGGTGTGAATTTGACTTCATATCTTTTTAATGTCTCATCTTATTACAAACTGTCCTCACGACAGGTCAGATTTAAAAATGAATATCTGTCTCACTGTTAACCACTGGGAGTGGGTGGCTTCTCCCGACCCACTGAAATCTTGGCCTTGCTTGGCCTCCCCAGTCCTGTGTCTTTTCCCGTGGAAGGTGTGTGTGGAGTGTTGCAAACAAGCTGGTTTCCTCTCTGGCTTTCCAGGCAACAGGACTTTCCAAAAACACGTGCTGGTGATCGTCATTCCAGGTGACATGTCATTAGGAAATACTTCTGTAGAATTTCTGTGTGGATAATTGTTGTATAAAAATTGCTGGTGCAGCCAAGAGGGAAGGGGGGACAGATGCCTCTGGTGCCCCCATGTTAAAGTGAGGTCATCTTGTACCTGCATCACACAGCAAACACTGAGGTGTCTCTATCCAGCTGTATGTGAGGTGTGATTCCCTGAATTACTTTCCTCATACAGACTCCCAGGATGGGATTTATTTTCTGTGTTTTGAAGATTCTAGTGTTATAAAACTCTGTTCTCTAAAAGGGAAGCTTAATCACTTCCCTGGCATGTGTGTGTGGTACTAATGAGGTACCAATCCCATCACTGCCAAGGGGGCAGAGGACTTGGGTACCTGAAGGTCCAGTTGCAGTTCCCTGAGCTGTGAGATCTTCTATCAGGATCTTCCTTCTTCAGTGAGATTTTGAAAGGATTTGCAAAGAAGTTTTTCTCTTTTTTTTTTTTTTGATCCATAATAGTTTTGTTTATTACTGATTTCAGTTTCTTGCAGAAATAAAAAATCCTGCTATGACAAAGCTGTGACAAAATAATCCTAATTTTTACAGGGTTCTTCTGCTACTTCATTGTAATTTGAATTTAAATTTAAAAAAAGAAATTTCTCCATTGTAAATATACTGGGTTCATTTGGAGTGTAACAGAATCGGAATCTATGAGTTTTTTTAAGACTACAGCAAGGCAAAACTCTGGCCATAGGAGAGAAGGAGGAATTCAGCAGGGAGGAATGGCCACCTCCAGCAAACTTGCTATTTCCTGGAGATCAAAAGGCACAATGCCAATACCTGGTGAATAACATCAGGCCACACACCTGGCCCTTATTGCAGTTGGGCTGATTTAGGCTGAACAAGGTTTTGGAACAATATTGGTAGAGAATGCTGGAGAACAAATAAGAGGATCAAGGCATTGGAGCCAAAACATGAATGAACCACCCTGGATTCTCCTGTGTTCCTGAAGCTTTAACTCTGTGCCTCTGCTGGACATGGAAGATGTTTTGCTTGTTATTTTTCCTTGCTTTGGTGGAAATGAAAACATCTGGACCTGTCTGAAATCTGAGCTGCAAATTTCTCATATTCTTATGAGTTCAGTCAGCAGTGTTCAAGCACAAAGTACTGTGAGCTGAGGAAAAGGGAAAGGAGTATGTCCTTTGTTAGCTGAGAAGTTTTAATGCATGAAATGCTGTTGGGAATTCAGAAAACTTGAATTTAGTATCTGATCTATCTACAGTTCCCATCTCATGTATAGAACATCAATGGAGCTGGAGGTGCTCTCTATATATTGGATATAATTTTGGTGATGAGTATTTTCACTGAAAGGTCTTTGCTGTGACAACAGTATGGCCTTGGAAGCCATGGGTCACCAGTGTGGTCTGGGCTGAGAGAATCTGTTTCCAGAGGGTATTGGCAGAGCCCCTGGGGTTTGGAGAGCTGCTAAAACAGATTGAAAACACCACAACTGCCAACTCCCAGACCACGGAGCACCATCAGACACTGTCAGACAGTGACAAAGAGAGCACATTGGAAGCTCTGCTGGAAGGGGAGAACTGAAACTTGCCCTTTCCATCTCTGGTAATGTGGAATCTTTCTTCCTTTATGATGTATCAAATATTAATTCTCCATTTCCCCTCAGTTCTAAAATCTCATTTCTATATGGCAGTGAAGAACATCTTTCTGTTCTCTGTCATGCAAACCCAAGAAAAATAATAACCAGGCCATTTAACTTTCTTGTTCCTTCCTCCAGGCATCAGGTTCATCAGATTGTAGAGCCGAAGCCTGGGCTCTGTTTCCTACCAGAGCAGGAGGGAATGGACAGCTGTTTGGAATGGTTTAAGAACAATAGCACTGTTTATATTTCCAGGCTGCTGTTGTTAATTTTTCCTTTTTTTCCTAGTAGTGTAACACTGTTGGCTCATATTCAGCCCACACTTGCCTGAGTCTCATCCTCAGACATTCTCTTGCCTTCTGACAGGTCACTGTGTGGTGCATTTGTGAATTGGAGCCTACATTTCTCAAGTGCAGGACTTGCATATGTGTCCACTGAATTGCACCTTGTGCTTTCCAGACTATTTCTCTCTCTCTTCAAATTCCAGTCCTGTCCTCTAGATACTGCTGCTTCTCCTAGTTTGATGTAGTGTCCTGATTTTAATGGGTCCATTCTCTCTATAAGCTCTGAAATCCAGCAACACTCAGGATTTTCATTAGGACATCTCTGACACATCCTTTCAAACTAACCCAGAGAAATTGATACAGACTCCCTTGTATGATGATTATTATTTTAATTCATAGAAGGCTATGGCTATAATTTTATATAGAAAGTCTTTCTGTAGTTTAAGGAGGGGAAGGAGTTGTCAGACTGTACCAAGACCAGTTAAATCAGTCTGATGTGCTTTCCATTCAGGAATAAACCATTACTCACCTTGCTGTGCTAAAAAAAATTATCTGTTTGAACATTTCTGGGAGAACTGACCTTTTATTTCCTGACTTTTCATCTTTTCCCTTGGTGGTATGTAGCTATTTTCCAGTGTCCTGACTTCAGTGATTTTCTCAGGTATCTATGAACGTGCTTGTGAGGGTTTCTGATGCTTCTAGAAATCCTGAGATCATTTCAAGGCTAACAGTTTTCACTGCAGCAACTTTGTAGACTCTTCCCTTCCTGCTCTGACCTTGGCTGGGCACACACTGACCTGAGTGTTCCCATGGTTGCTTATTCCTGACAAATGTTAAACCCAAATGTAAGTGATTAAAGAACAGTGTTGCTTTGTCAGCAGTTGCTCAACTGCCTGATTACCCAGAGACTAAAGGTGGATGTCCCAAAGTGGTACTGACAACATAAAAAAGCACAGGAACCATACCAAGAGTGGATGTTCTTTACTAAAAGTTCTGTGTAAAGATCAGTACTAAAAGTAGAAGCAAAAGAGATGGCTACAGAAATACAGTATTGTGATCACATAGCAAGGAACAGCATGGCCAAGCAGTTTATTAGTAATGTAAGAAATGAAAGCCCTGTGTTAAACCTGGTTTTTAGCACTGGCATTAGAATTTTCCAAGAGTTTAGGATAAAATCTGACAGCAGAATAGGAATTTCTTAAGAGCAGCATCAGGAGAGACACTGCCCACTTTGCTGAGATTTATATGAGATCTTAAATATTCTTAAAGAAATTAAAACATGTTCTTATTGCATCATTACAACAAATATCAACACTGTTGCAGTAGTAGTGTTGGAAGCTGTTGGAGCAGCTCTAGAGCTGCAAACTTCTCTTTGTAGTGTTTTAGAGCTAAAACTTCTCTTTCTAGTGCTGTCTGTTTGCAGAGGTATTTGGTTGGATTTATAAGACTTTTTTTCCCCTCACAGCTTTGTTGGACATCACTCAGTTAAAAACCATGAACAAGACCAGAGAATTCTAAGCCACTCTTGCAGGTGATCATGGTAAGGTATCACTGCCTTTAATTCACAGTTTGTTTTTCAAAGATATTTGTTTGCAATGAATGACAAACCCTTGTGTTCAGTGATAACTTAGAAAATGCCACAGTATGGCAGTGTATGTTTTGGGTGGCTCCATATCCGTGTGACCAGGCAGCTGGGATTATTCTGATTATTTTGGTGATCTGTGCTGTGAGGATGCCCAGACTTTCTGGAGTGGTTCACACCACCAGAGGGAGCAGACAGTGTGAGAACCGCTGCCACTGACAGTCCACAGTGCTGGGGATGCTTCAATATTACCAAAGGATGAAAGACTTTGATCAGTTTTCTATAACTTTCCTAATGCATTGCTATCATGAAGTAAAATGTCCATCTCCCATTTTCATCAGAGGTCTGCTTAAAATCACCTTGTTTTGTGAACTACAGATAGAGAGTTAGTGGAAGGGCAGGAAATCCCTGTTAAAAAGGTTAAAAGCCAAATAGGTTCAAAGGGTCCCCCACCATGCACAGACACACTGTCTGCCACGTGTGAAGAGCCCTCTGTGCTTGTGTGCAATGTTCTTTTGTCATGTTGCATGTAAGAAGCTCGCTGTGAGGACAAAAGAAATTACATTTGCCTTCTAATTTCTGTGGATGAGATTTCCCCCTGCACCTCCCCAGCCTGAGCCTGAAGGAAGCTGGGCTGGTCCCGTGGCCTTTCTGTGTTCTAGGCAGGTTTCCAAGAGCTGCAGGAAGGCACAGCTCTGAGGGCAGCTCCTGTGCTGCAGAAACAAACCTCTGTGCCTTCCTTCACTTCTGAGTTTCCTGCCAATAAAACTGACTGGTGCATTTCTGGGCTGGTTTTCATCCCTGGCCCCTTATGGGTGATGAAGGGGTTTGTTTCTCTTATTGCAGGACACTTTGTGTACCACAAAACTGTTTAAATAGTACTTTGTATGGAGGAATTGTTCTCTCTGCTAAAAAATAAAAATATGAAATATAGCCTACATTGTGCCAATGCCTGCCAGCAGTTTTGCAATGCAAAATGGTGTATTTTTGTTCTTTTGGGTAGAGTACACTGAGAATATTGAAAATCTTACTGAACTGCAAAAGAATTCTGTTATTTTAGTGAAATACATATTTACTGTCATCTACTTAACAAAAAATGCATACTTACCTTACCTCATCGTGTGCATATGACTCAGTAATGGTATAATTTATATAGCAGTAAGAACCATATAATTACTTCCCATCTAAGTATTAATTATAACTGTGTCAATCTTTGGAGTGTTGAATGATGATTACATTTGAAAATCATTCCATATTTACAGAAAATCTAAGTGCAATTTTAATAATTTGGATGATGGTTCCTTTTGAATACAATTATAGATTTACTATACTCAGTTTTATGTATCCTTTGGTGGAAACAGTAAATGAAGTCCTTTCTGCAAGTGTAAAAAACCCTTTTTTTTTAATTTCAGTGAAAATACCCCTAAGATTTAGTGGAAATGTGCCTCTGATAACTCTGCTGAGTGGTGCTCACTGGAGATGTAGACACCCAGGGGTTTTCCATTAGACAGAGAACTTAAAAATTACTTAAAAATGTTTAGTGCAAACACAAGAGGGATTGGTTTTCTTGCAGTTACCAGTTTCAAAACAACACAGCCAAGAAGTTTCCCAAGGGTGCTCCCCCAGGGAAAGCACAGGGCTGAGTTCCCCTTGCTCTCTGTGTGGGTTGTGTCTGTCCTCAGCCAGACTCACAGCAGCTTCCAGATGAGGAGTGGGACTATTCCAGGCAGAAGTGAACAGTAGGATCCAAACTATTTTAAGGCAGTCAGGTGGAACTGTGCTCATTGCTCACCCTTTGATCTCAGGGGTGTCTTCTAGTCCCAGTCTTGCAACTTGTTTTGCTGGGCCATGAAAAGGAAGGGAGGAAAGCAGCTCTTCCTCTGGCACACGTGCACCTCAGGGTGAACAGCAGGATCTCTGGGGTGTGTTGTCCTTTAGGGGTGTTCCCAGCACCAGGGGAGCTGGGCACAGCAGGGTGCTGCAGGGTCCTGGGGCTTGGCATCATCTGCATGGGGAAAAGGAGCAAGAGGTGACCAAGGGACCGGCTGTCAGGGTGTGCCCACTGCCCTGCCCACCCCAGGCCACACGCCCTGCCTGGGGAGCCCCTCTGTGTCACTCTGTGTCCCCCCCAGCCAGGGCTTGGTGGGTGCAGGGGGGTCAGTGTCAGAGCAGACATGTCCCAGCGATAGCATCCATGGGGACAAGGGTGCTGGAGTGCCCTGGCCAGTCCTGGTCACACCCTGCTGTCCCTGTGCCCTGGAGCTCCAGCTCCCTGCACCCACTGCCCTGGCAGCTGGTTGGGAACCCTGGTAGCAGCATGGAAATGTCCTGCTGCTGCTCACTGGGTTTGTCCTTCCTGGTTCTTTTCTCAGAGCTGGGAACGGCTCCGAGGTTTGTGCTCACAGTGAGTTCTCTGCTCCTGTGCCCAGCCCAGCATCCACTATTTACATCACACTCACCAGTTCCTAGAGGTCACTGTAGCAAAACTGCCACCCCTTATTGAAAGAAGAGCCCAGGTCATGCCTGAAAATGCATCCTGGGAATTGGCATAAAGCATCCTCTGGGATTCCTGTGCCCTTCCCTTGGCTATGGCAAGTCCCCATGAAGGACATGAAGCTCCCAGGCCTGCACTTCTGTAGGTAAAGCCAACTGGTGTTTGAGCATCCACTGTCACTTCTCCATCACTTGCTGATGGTTTCTTTGAGGAAGACTTACAGCAGGCTTTGCAATGGTCTGGAAAGTCTGGCACCAAAGGAAAAAGGTGGCTATCCAAACATTACACTCCCTTTTTCTTTTGCTTCTATATGGTACTGTTCACTGTCTGTTTTAGGCAGTACCTTGTCTCTGTACACTGAAATACATACTTAGACAAAAAAATTATTTAAAAATGCTTTGTTGCCAAGAAACGGAATGAAATGCATTAGGAGTGTCTGATTTCAGTGTGTTTTCAAATGCTTCAGGAAGGTTAGCTGTACTGCTTGTCACTGCTGCTCTTTTATGCTGTGTAAGGTCACGGAACACTTTGAAGCACAAAGAGGAAAGTTTAGGTAAACTTTAAAAAGTCACTGTAAAAAACAAAATCCCATTGCATCCCTGTTTAAATGTATAAAATAGGTAGAACTTCCAGAGGTTTTATTCTTCCACTGAAGTGTTTTTGTCAATCTGAGATCTTCAGAAGAATTGAAGGAAAGAGCCACTTCTGTTCACATGATTTGGGGCCTGATGGTCAGTGGAAGAACTGCTCTGTACTTCTGTTGGAACACGTGGGATGGGGATATTCTGTTCACACCCCACTGTCTTGAACAGGGGTGCAGCCTCCAGGGTGAGAGATGACAGAGATGGATGGAATGGGCTGCTGCAAGTCCTGCAGCCTGACTGCAGAATTTGCAGCCTGTCCTGTAGTCCCAGATGCTACCTCCTCTTCCTGGCTAATATAGATATTTATAGATATTTCATTTCTTTGACAAGGGTCCATGAGAGAATATGGGGGGGGATCATCTGTGGGAATATATATTTGTGTTGCTCCTGGCCCCACACATTCATCATAGCTGAAAGAAAAAAGGAATTTTTCATTAGACTCCTGTGAAAAAAAAGCCACAGTACATTATTTTCAGAGTAACAAGGGCAGGTAAAGTGAGAAGAAAAGGATCATATGGTGTTTTGTTCCTCAACCCACATCTTTGCTTGTCCTGCCATGTGAGACAATGAGAGCATAATCCCTAAAAGCACATCTCCAAATCCATATGGATAATCCCGAGATGCACAGGTACCACCAGTACAGTGCAGCCACAGCTCATTCCTGCTCCCACCTGCCTGGAAGAGCCAAGTTGGAAAATGTCTGGGGGGGAAGAGGAAGTGGTGTTGCTGTTTGATAATGAACCTTTGCTGG